GGCTGCATTCAGAGAGCCCACAGCTGTATGTGATGCTCACACACAAGACTAGGCAGCAACACTTTAAAAAGAATCCTGATGACACTGACCAGCAAGTGTGTTTACAGAGGAGCTTTAGTATCTGAAGTACTATTCTTAACTCTTAGCTGCAAACTGGTCTATTTTTCTAGTCACTACATGTAAAAGCCTCATGTTAGTAGAAAGAGTGCAAGATGTGGTTAAAGAAATGAGACTGATGTTTATAATCTAGATAAGTCTCTAAAATGTAGACATGTTTTTTATAGATGTCATTAGCTAATTTTGATTGAGGTGAGCACTTAATGTGTGTTATTTCATTTAATCTTCACAATAGCCCTGAAAATGTAGGAGCTGCTCATCCATTCAACAGATATTTGAGTGCCTTCTTGGTGATGGAGCTATGAGGATACAGTGTTACATCAAGTCAGACCCTTAGCTCATGCAGCTTATAGTATAGTAGGGTGGCAGACATGCCTCCAAGGGACCTGGCATAGTAGAATCATGGTGAGTAAACCAGGTCCTGTGTTAGAGAGCTGCATGATGGGTGGGGTAATCGGGAAATGCTTCTGGAAAGGGGACACTGGGCAGAGATGGGGGTGACCTCTGATGGGAAAAAATCGATGCTCCTGAACAGTTATTTTTGTTCATCAATTTCTGTCTTGAGTGTGTATGTAGGGACTTCTTTCCCTAGGTAGATCATAAAACCTAGCGGGCAGCATCTGCATCTAATTTCTTCTTTTGTCCTTTGCTGCATGTAGCAGAAAATAGGTCCCAGTAAATAACTGGTGTGAATTGGCACATTGATAGATGGATAAAAGGTGTGTTAGACTACACTTCCTTGTAATGTTTTGGGGATGAAAATAAACAATAACCATTGACTGTATCTTGTGTGGGGGACATATTGGGGGATTTGAGATTAGGAAATAAAAATAAACTTTAGCCCTGTACCCTTAAGGAGCCTGGAATCCAGTCTGTAGAGCACATAAAACCGAACACCTGAAACTTAGAAACAGCCAGCAGAGCAGGTTAAGCAAGCAAGAGCATATCTTGTCCACAATACCCCTTCACCACATGACCCATGGAGTTTATTTGGTCTGGCTTCCCTGCTTGGAGGGCCAGGCATGCAGATGGCAGGGTAGAGTCAGGGAGCAGGTTGCAGAGGGAGATATTTTCAGAGAAAAGAAAGCTCTGCATTATCAGAAAGCCACGGCTGCAGAGAAATACAGCTAGTGGAGAGGAAATATGCTGATTTGCCTTTTTCTTTAGTGGTGTTATGCAGAAACTAGGATCTGGGTAAGTGGTTTGCAGTGCATGGGTTTTTTGTCCTCACACCCTGCCTCTTTCCTTACAAAGTAGTTGTCATAGTTCAAGAACTGACTATCTCAAGGCACTGACAGTGCATGTGGTCTGCTTCATGGCTCCATGGATGAACTACACTTTCCTCTGGCCTTGGCCACGTCCGGTAGACATAACATCATTAAATAGCAACGCAGTTTTTACAAGATTTACCTATTCAACACCCCCAGCCCTATCCCCCTGGAAATCATAGCTGCTTTAATGTCCTGCTGGCTATGTGAAAAACAGGAATTTATGTAACAAGCCCTGCACAGAAAACCTTTTCCTGTTCGGAAAATTTTTTTTTAATTGTTGGCAAAGTTAGGAGACAGCTAAGTTACTCAAAGAGCGACCTCAAATGTCCTCTTAGAAAAATATGTAGCATAATGTTTTGATAAGTAAGGGATTGCTATGGGACCTTTTTTTTTATAAGTCTAATTAATGAGTTAATGTATGTCCCATCTGAATTAGTGAATGCTTCCTGAAAATTTTTAAATATTTCACCATCATGTATTCTGCAGTCTTATTTAAAAAGCCCCCCCCCCCCCCAATTGCAGTTGCAAATGATCTGATCTAATGTTGTGGAGCCGCAGGGCTACCCACCTCCTCACCCTCCTTGCCAGTCAGCAAAGATAGCCAGGAAGATACTATTTAGCAAGATCTTCCCCCTTTTATCATTAACTAAATGACAAGCTTCCTTTTCTCTAGAAATTTCTTCATTGTAGTTTATGTATGTGACTGTTGTGTTCAAAGAACAAGGTATCATGATGGAATATTGTGCAGATGTCCAGACTTTGAGCATGTGGAACATGTCACAGGGTCAGAGTACTTACCCCAGACACAGGCTTGCTGCTTTAAGGAGGAATTTGGAAGTTGGTTTTCGGGTGTTGGTCAGCCCAGCAGATGAGGCTGTGGCTGTGGGAGCGTGTGTGTATGTGTAAAACCTTCCCGTAAGGGAGTGTCATGGGAGTGAAATCGGGCATTGGGGAAACAGTTCTTGGCCTCTTTTAGAAAGTACTGAGTTTGGGGACAGATCCATAGGTGGGAAGGCAGAGGGAAGTCTTGGGAACAAAGAACACTCCATGTCATTCACTTGACACACCTGCCCACCATCCAGGCTGAAGACCCTGTTCAGGGCTATTTCTGACCTACACTCTCGTGTGCCCTGGCAGAAGGGCTTGTCAGTTGCTTCTGTGTTGCAGCCCTTGGGTGGAATGTAGTACAGAGGATCAGAGGGCATTCTGAGCTGTGGATTTCTCAGCCCCGGGTGTTGGGCCTGACTCGGACTTTTAAAAAAATATATATTTTTATTTATTTCATAGATGAAGGAAGAGGGAGAGAGAGATGGAACATCAATGATGAGAGAGAATCATTGATTGGCTGCCTCCTGCACGCCTCCTCCTGGGCATCGAGCCCACAACCTGGGCATATGCCCTTGACCAGAATCGAACCTGGGACTCTTCAGTCCACAGGCCAACACTCTATCCATTGAGCCAAAACAACTAAGGCCTCATTGACTTTTAAATCTTCTTTAAGAAAGGGGGGGGGGAGAAGGGGGCGGAATCTCCACTTTGTTTTCTAACTTCTTTCAATGAGAAAAAACGTTGAGCTTATGGTTTGTGTTGGAGCTCCAGCCTTGTCCTGCCTTTGTTCTGGCGCAATGAGTGGCATGAGGATGTGGCATTGTGGCTGCACCCTGGGGTGACCACAAATCCAGCCCCAGGGCCTTTTCATGGTCAAGGAGAGGGGTGATGGGTCTAGGGAGCTCAGTCCCCGGCCATGTGCTCAGCCCTGCTCCCAGGGTTCAGGGATTCTTGGGGAATCTCGTCCTGGATTTGGGATTGGGACTTGATGACAGACACTGCTCGATGACTGGGTAGTGAGAGTTTACTGTCCCCTGTCCTATGCTGGGGACAAAAAGATGTAAGTCTAAGTCCTCTGGTTTAGGAGCCCACTTTTCCTTTTCCATGTGTCCCAGGAGCTCTCTGGATGCTGGCAATCTCTCTGTGAGCCAGTAGGGGAGTCAAATTGGGGCTTCCTTGATTGTAGCTCAGCTTTGCTGCTTTTACTGTAACTTGAGACTGTCTCTAGCTCCCTTCACTGTGTGTCTGGAGTTGTGGGTTTGTGTTTGTAATACCTCCTACCCGCACCCTAGTGAATAAGAGGAAGGAAATAGCTTAGCCCGCTGAAAACTTGTGTCTTCAAAGATGGGATCTAATATATTCTTCTTGGTGACTCTTACTGTGTACCAGACACCCTTGAGCATTTTATATACCACTAGGGTCCCAGTGGATGAATTTGTGCACCTTGAAAGAAACTGTGGACTGTGAGGCTGCAGTGGGCACCGAGGCACATCTTGGCCCATCCTCCATATCCCCACCCAGCCCCTCCCACGGCCCCTGATTCCCTGATTGCCAGCAGCCCACTCCTGCCACTGCTGCTCCCACATGCTGATGGTGCTGGCCTCGCTCACACCGCTTATGGCACAGAGTGATTGTGGCCGGTGCCAGCAGCAGGTGCAAGTGCCTGGCGGGACCGCCGTGCGCAGGAGCAAAGAATTTTCAGTAACCACCAGAGGCTCGCCCCAATGACAGTGACTGGTGCCCCACTTTGGTCTGGTGCCCCTGCTCACCTACTCCATCATCCCACTGCAGCTGTGTTCCATGCATGCCCCCTGGTGGTCAGCACGTTGTTTCTCTGTTTGATCTATTTGCATATTAGAGTTTTATATGCATAGATAAGGGCCAAGGAATTTTATGCGGTTATGTAGCCAGTAAGTAGCAGAGCTTCCTAAATGATCAAAAAAGGTTGATTTCTCTCCACTAATTGTCCCAGGAGTATACATGGCACAGTTCAGTCATGGAACTGTTCCTAGCAGGTTGAAACTTCAAGCTATTTGTACTCTCCATGCCATCCACTTCTCCAAGATTATCCTTTTGGACAGAGAATAACTTCTGATGCAGTGTTCTTGGATTAGTTGGTGCATATTGCTGGTTATTTTGGGAACAAAGGGGTGACAAATAACACTTGAATTTAAATTTTTCTTTGGGGGATGGGGTGCAGTTCAACTTTCTAAAATTAAAAAAAAGGGGGGGGACGGCCCATTTTTTTTCTTATATTCACCTATATTTGCCTAATGGATATTATGGGCTTAAATGAATCTAAATCTTAGGGTTTTCAGGGTTTTAATTTTTGACTAATAATATATGCTGCTTCATTTATTTCTTTTCCATAATCATGTAAGCCCAGTAATGCAAAACTTCTCACTTTGAGTAAATGACATATGTGCAACCTTATGAAATTGGCAGTAGTTTTAGGGATAATAGAGTGGAAAAAGTTTTTATAGCACTTAGGAAGTACTATTTGCATAGCACTGACTGTAAACAAAATGTAAGTGGTTTTAAAACCAGTTTCTGTAATTCCCCTATAAAATATACTTATATAAAAGGAAGTATTTATAATAATGAGTATTTAATTTTGTTCCCTCATTAAGATACAGATTTTATTTTTAAGATAATATTTTTCTTCTATGGTGTGAACTCTTTTATAGTGGGGTTCAGAACCACTCTGAGCATATGGGCTGAAATCAGTACTTCTATGTAGTTGGAGAAGGACTATATTTCTAACATGATGCTTTTGCTTTACAGAATTCAATTCGTCATAATCTGTCTCTGCACAGCAAGTTCATCCGTGTGCAGAATGAAGGAACTGGAAAAAGCTCTTGGTGGATGCTCAACCCAGAAGGAGGCAAGAGTGGAAAATCCCCCAGAAGAAGAGCTGCGTCCATGGACAACAACAGTAAATTCTCTAAGAGCCGAGGTCGAGCCGCCAAGAAAAAAGCATCCCTCCAGTCTGGCCCAGAGGGTGCCGGAGACAGCCCGGGGTCTCAATTCTCTAAGTGGCCTGCCAGCCCTGGCTCTCACAGCAATGACGACTTTGATAACTGGAATACATTTCGCCCTCGAACTAGCTCAAATGCTAGTACTATTAGTGGGAGACTCTCTCCCATTATGACTGAACAGGATGATCTTGGAGATGGTGACGTGCATTCAATGGTGTATCCACCCTCCGCTGCAAAGATGGCTTCTACTCTGCCCAGTCTGTCAGAGATAAGCAATCCTGAAAACATGGAAAACCTTTTGGATAATCTCAACCTCCTGTCATCACCATCGTCATTAACTGTTTCAACCCAGTCTTCACCTGGTGCCATGATGCAGCAGACCCCGTGCTACTCGTTTGCACCGCCAAACACCAGCCTGAATTCACCCAGTCCAAACTACCAAAAATATACCTATGGCCAATCCAGCATGAGCCCCTTGCCCCAGATGTCAATGCAAACCCTTCAGGACAATAAATCGAGCTACGGAGGAATAAGTCAGTATAATTGTGCACCAGGACTCTTGAAGGAGTTACTTACTTCTGACTCTCCTCCCCATAATGACATTATGGCACCAGTTGATCCTGGGGTGGCTCAACCTAACAGTAGGGTCCTGGGCCAAAATGTGTTGATGGGCCCTAATTCGGTCATGCCAAGCTATGGCAGCCAGGCATCTCATAACAAAATGCTGACTCCCAGCTCCCATTCCCACCCTGGGCATGCCCAGCCAACCTCTGTAGTTAATGGGCGTGCCTTGCCCCACACAGTGAACACCATGCCCCACACTTCGGGTATGAGCCGCCTGGCCCCAGTGAAGACAGCTTTGCCAGGGCCTCCACCTCACCCCATGCAGATGAACGCCCTTGGGGGCTACTCCTCCATGAGCAGCTGCAACGGCTACGGCAGGATGGGCATCCTCCACCAGGAGAAGCTCCCCAGTGACTTGGACGGCATGTTTATTGAGCGCCTGGACTGTGACATGGAATCCATCATTCGGAACGACCTCATGGATGGAGATACTTTGGATTTTAATTTTGACAATGTGTTGCCTAACCAAAGCTTCCCGCACAGTGTCAAGACGACAACACACAGCTGGGTGTCGGGCTGAGAGTGAATTCCCGAGCAGGTAAGATGACCCCATTATCAAAAGGCCTGCAAACAAAACTCAAAGGAGAGGAGTACTGTGACTGCCATCCATCGCCCATGGCTAAGACTTTTTAAAGGCCAACTAGCTACCTCTTGCAGAGAGGTATCTTTTATTATTCATTCTCCACCCTTTTTATAGCTTATAAATTTTCCTTTTGAGTTTAAACACAGAACGTTCCTCTAACTGCTGTAAAGATTTTAACAGTTAGATGGCTGCATCTTTTCAGTAGCTCTTCAGTAAATGAATACATTTAATATAAATTAAATGCTGAAGGGCTTTTAAAGTGGAATTTCCCCCATTGAATGATTTCAGAGCTGTTTGAGAAAGCTCTAGCTATTTCTCCTTCCCCCAGTATGTCTGTCACTCCAACATGTTAAGTTGCATTGATTTTAATTTGGATATTTTTTATTTTGTGTGTGTTTGTTTTTTCCTTAGGCTATACTTAAAAGTACTTCAGATTGTCTGACAGCAGGAACTGAGAAGAAGTCCAAAGATGTCCTTCATCCCAATCTTTTCATTTTCTTGATTAAAAAAAATACACACCAAAAACCTTTTTTATTTTATTTTTCTTTCGTCAGACTTGGCAGCAAAGACACTTTTCCTGTACAGGATGTTTGCCCAACGTTTGCAGGTTATGTGCTGCTGTAGATAAGGACTGTGCCATTGGAAATTTCATTACAATCAAGTGCCAAACTCACTACACCATATAACTGCAGAAAAGACTTTCAGATCCTGGTGTGCTTTCAAGTTTTGTATATAAGCAGTAGCTACAGAATTATATTTGTGTGTGTTTTGTTTTGTTAAATATCCATTTGGTCCAAGGAAAGTTTATACTTTTTGTAATACTGTGATGGTCTCCTGTCCTTGATAAGTTAAACTTCTGTTTGTACTACCTGTGTTCCGCTGAACTGATGAATCACAGAGAACCAAGGTCTCCATTCTGTACCTTCGTTGAACAGCTTTGAACCTGTTCATTTTGCCACATAATTCACGTGAGAACCAGTAATCTGTCATCAATCTGCTGAATTAATGGACTTGTCAAACTCCTGGGGAAAAAAAAAAAAAAAGTAAACACCAGCCTTGTACAGTCTTTTCTATTTTGTTGTCTGTTTTGTTTTTTGCAAATTTGTACAAACATATAAATGGTTCTAATTTCCAGATAAGTGATTTTTTGATGTTATTATTGGGACTTGAGATCATTTTTGGAATAGATATTGAACTGTAATGTTTTCTTAAACCTAGAGTATACTTTGTTACAGTATGCTTGTAAATTTGTAGAATTCCAGATATTTGAGACAGCATCCATAATTTTCATTTTGTATTCTAACTGGATTAGTACTAATTTTTGTACGTGCTTAACTGGTTTGTACACTTTGGGATGCTGCTTGGTGATGTTTCTGACTAATCGTAAAATCATTGTAATTAGTACTTGCATACTCAATGTTTCTGGCCCTATTTTGGCAGGAGAGTGATGTACAGTTTAAGGACATTTTACGTTTCATGTTTAGGAGAACTTGATATGTTTTTATGTATGTATTTTAAAGAAATTACATCTGCTATTGCTCTGCGAACTAAGCGTACTGCATAGCATTGAGTTTTCTATAGATACCTGTCTAGTCGTGGCAGTGGCTCCTGGGAGGCCTAGTAATGTTTGTAGGTCAGAGAGGGAGACCTGCATCTAACACAGTACTCCTTTCTCAAACTGGGGCTTTTAATCAACAGCCATTTTAGGCTGGGCTTCAACAAAGGTTTCCCCTTAGAATTCTGTGCTTCTGTGTTGGTCTGGGTGGAGGTTGGTTTGTAGTTCTGCATTGAAGTGTATGTTAACACTCACACTTCGTGGTTCTTTCCCTCTGTCTTGCTGATTACATGGCACTCTATGGAAAGAGTAAGTCAAAGGGGGGATTTAGAAATGTGACGTCAGTGATTTGTAGAATGCTTTGTGTTCATGAATACAGATGGCTACCAAATAGGAAAGAATCTGTTTAAAAACTAGGGCAATTAATTTTAAAATCAACCAACCAGATATATGTTGTATATTTGAATTCTTTTAAAAGGCATAAGATAAGGATTTCTTTAGCCTTTAGCAACCTAAATTATAATTCTGATCATTAGGTTTTAGTATTTTCCAATTACCTTTAACTGACAGACAACTCAATTGGCTTTGTGTCCCACCTACAGTGTTGCTATTTTCAAGTCGTGTGGATGCCTGTGGTCCGCAAAATAAAATGAACAGCTGAACAAAAATGTTCCTCTTGCCTGCCGGAGAAGGCTCTGATTTCTCTGTACTTAGCCCAAATCACATTTGCTTCGTTTGTCTGTGAGTTGCATCTCTGTTGGATTGGTTTTTCCTACAGTTTAACAAGAATATAAGTGTCCCTGATAGATTTCCTACAGGAGGCCAGCTCTATGGTAAGCCGCTCACTGTAACTTCTACTGTTTTGGGAATTCATTGAACAACCACCTCTCTAGCCATCTTCATTGTTGGACACTCCAAAACATGTCTGGTTTTAGGCATCCTGGTGCCTCTCAGCAGAGCCTCCTGCATATGGAACAGGACCCTTTGGTGCAGAGTACTCGTGTTTCTGTTACCACTGCTGCCACTTCTCCTCCCATGCCATTACACAGGAGCCTCAGCGAGTGACCGCCAGCATCGCTGTTAGCATCTTAACTGCTTCACAGCGTGACTTTAAATATGTTTCTTCCTCCCACATCTGTGTAAATACCTTTTTTTCCTTTCAACTTTTTCTTTATGTTGAAATTCTGACATGAATCTTGGGTAGCTAGCTCTCTGGGGTACAACGAACTCCAGTGAAAGGCACCTCGTCTATTTTGAAAACATTACGTGACCTCTGGTGATTCTTTTTCTGTACGAATACTGACTTTCTAGAGTAATTAGTCTATTGGTTACTATACATGATTGCTTTGTGAAATGTGCAAATGACATCACCTATGCAGCCTTGTTTGATTTATTTTCCTTGGTTTGTGCTGTTATTAAAAGCATATTGTATTATAGAGCTATTCAGATAATTTTAAATATAAAGTATTGTTTCTGTAATATAGGTGTATGCAATATATTTAGGTAATAGATATATTACATGGAAAGTTCTGCTTTGACAAACTGACAGTCTAAATTAATTAGCAAATGTTATAGCCCAGCAAGCAGTGAATCAGGGGGACGTCCCAAGAAGAGAAGACACTTGAAATGGAACCGGTTCTCCAAAGGTAGACATTTAGACTTGCTCAGCTGCTGATACATGCTACCACCCCCCACGAGATTTTTACATTCAGCTCTTAAGGGTTCTTAATTTATAACTGACTTTTAAATGAGAAGTTTCTCTTTTGATTTTAGTTTGGGAGTAATCACTCAGAAGAACACAGTGTGGTTTATGCAAACAGCTGCTGGGCGGGACTCCTGGCCTCCTCCCTGAGGTGGTGCCCAGCCTGGCGGCGTGGCCAGGTGTGGCCATGTGAGTCCTGTTGGGATGTAGTCATGCTCTCCTGCGTTTTGCTACTTGAGTTAGTAACAGTGCAGATTCCATGGATTCCATGTTCCTGTTCCAATATGAGAAGTGCCTAATGATGTTGATATACTACAGACACAAGAACAATCTTTGCTATTACTGTAAAGCCATAAATGTACATACATGTGTTTAAATGGTTTGGTGTCTTTCTTTCCTAATTGTGCAGAATAAGCTCTTTATTAGTATTAAAATTTTTTTTTGCTATCATTTGAGTTAAATCTTTTCAGCCACAGTGCCATGGTTTATTCAAATCCAGTATTTCCTTTGGAGTGTGGGGAAACAGTCTCGGATCAGACAATAGCCTCCTACAGTGAAGAATAAGTAAAATCCCTGATAATCCTAGAGTGTAGGTACTTCATCATTGGAAAGTCTGAAGCCACAATCTGGTACAGTAGTTATTGGGCAGTTGAGTCTCGTGTCAGAGCAGACCATGGTGAAGGTAAAGCGCATAAGGGGCACGTAAGGAGGGTCCTGGCAGGGAGGGCACTGAGCAGGCACCGGGGCGGGGGTTGGGGGTTGGGGGGGGATGGGGGGTGGGGGGTGGGGGAAGGAATAGCTGTCCAAGGCCACAGGTGCTGCTGTCTCCACACACCTTTCTGGAGGAGCGGCTTTTAAGTGGCTGCAGATGGGAGGTTCTATAAAATTGCTGTTTTCACAAATGTTCTGAGGAATGAGCTAAGATTAGATAAATGTTGATTAAAATGCTTTTTTAAACCAGGACGAAGGCCAGTCTCTTAGCTTCTCTCACCAGGCAAGTAAACGTCCAAATGAGTTGGAGTAGCAACAAGGAAATAGGTTATTCTCATGTTTATCTGTTTAGACACCAGAAGATCAGTTCAGCCTTCAGGTGCTTCCACACCTTCCAGCAATGTAACCCTTTCTTTCAAAGAGTAGAGTGTAGAACTGATGAAAACCATCAACTCCCAAACCCTGGCTCGGGCACAGATCACTTTGAAAACTGCTGATGTAGTCCAAGTGCAGAAAAACACAATTGCATTGCCAGAACTCAAAACCAGCAGCTCCTTTCATAGACCTCTTTGCATATACATAAAATCATGCATCCAATGTCACTGAGATAGATTTACAAGTTTTACATCACTTGATAAGAGGAAGCAACACAGAGGAAGGCTCTCCTAGCAGATTCCATGGGTGGAGCTTACCGGAGAGGGAGAGAATTCCTTCCTTGGACAGTATCTAAGCCCCTGCTGTAATTAGGATGTGAACCTACGATTATTTCTTGACCTGTGAACCAGCCACACCCAAGGACTTTGCCCTGGCTATTGTTTTTCATGTTTGAGCTGACCTGACGATGCTATTGATAGTTAAACAGATTAGTCCATGTGGTTAGGTAAGTGGAAGGCTGTTCCAAGATAAAATCACACGAAGTGGCAGTTGAAGTCGGTGTCACATACACATTGAATCTGTATCTGTTCCTGCTCCTACACATACACATTGAATCTGTATCTGTTCCTGCTCCTACTGGGGCCGTGAGCCGGTATCTGGGCTGGACCTCTAAAATAAGGTGTTCCTGGAAGTTTCCTTATTCCAATTTTTATTTTATTGTAAAAAAAACCCGATACTGGTGATAACTGAAATACATGGCTCAGTTTAAGTAACTGGCAATTGGGTGAAGTTTCTGGGAATGGAAATGGAGGTGCATGCTGGCATGAAGGAAGCAGGAAGGCAGGCAGTGCTGGGTGGTGGTAGGAAATCAGAAGTGAAATAGAGACAGCTGAGGTACCTTTTGACTGGAGGAAGCTACAGAGTGGCCAGGCCATAAAGAAGTTCAAAAGCAAGCTAAGTTGTCGCAGGTGCCTGGGAGAGAGAGCTTTCTGTGCAGCCAGTCCCCTTGCTTTGGCAACATGGCAGTGAGAGGAGGAAGCTCCACAGTGAAAAGTTATTCACCTGTTACAGGAAGAAGGAAAGAAAGGAGATTGGGGCCAACTTTTCTTCGTTTGGGGGCAGGATACTGTCTTCCCCTCCTCGCAATCCCCCCAGGAACTGAAAGGGTAAATGAAATATCTTGGCTTTAGTACCTTTATCAAGTTCGTGTCTTCCAAAAGTGTTATTTGCACTTGGAGCCACTGGTGTTAAGTAGAGATTTACATCCTCTGGAGAAAGAATGCAACGTTACGAGGGTTTGTTATTCATCATTTACATCTCATTCTTTTCATGAGCTCCAATCCCAGACAATCAACTTATAGAATTCATATGAAACTTAAAGCTTACCTAGGATAGTAGCCGAGGAGCCATGTGAGATTCTTATATTTGCTAGAGTTTCTGTAAGCATTCTTGGGGTAACATCTGAAATTGCCCCAGGAAGATGATCTGAGATGAGAGAACTGCTTAGAATAGAGCCTGCAGTGGGCCACTTTAAACTAGATTTGTCCTCTCTGATGAATTGAGATAGAGGTGAGGTCCATTTTGCATTTTAGTGTTGGGTTCCAGAACAGGCCAGAGATGCCGACTGCTGAATCTGTGCTGGTGGCATGGACACTTGGGTTTCAGCAAAGCCATGAGTT